ATATATTTCTGACTAAATTATCAATTACGGTATGTGAATATCCATGTGTGTATATATAGGTATGTATGTATGTATGTATATATATATATATAGAATTAGTTAAGCTTCATTGTCATTTTTAGCATTATTCATGCATGCTGATATTAAATTTCGGTATTTCAATAGAGATAAAAATAGTAATATTTATATCTAATAGTAGTCATTAAAATTTCGATCTCCTTAAAAGCTCTGATAGTTCTAGAAAAGGCAAAGAACGAATATGCTGGTACGTCGAACAACCTGAGCCTAAGAGATTCTTGACGCAGTAGAACTGAAAAAGTGCTCCGGATCTTTTATTTGATTGAACATTACCCCTTGATACCACAATGCACTCTGGCGAACACGGACCATTGTAGGCGTTTAGCTAATACCATTCGGAGTTAAACGTTTTAGGTATTAAAAATAGTTTTCTCTGGGAGCTATTTGCATTTAGTTCGATTCTGAAAACGTCGACTCGTTCTCTTACGAGCGTTTTATACGAAGTCTTTTCATAAACCTCCCTCACGTCAACTTGAAGATGCTGTAAATAGATGCGAAAATGATATTAATAACACCATCTTTGCAGCCCTAATTGATTCAAATATGGGTAGTATCCTAGCAGGACTCCGCTGCCCCTGGCTCTAGATGATTCTCATGGGCTCGATTCAAATTTAGATGTGGGCTAGTGACTTGATTCCGATACGGTGCATGGCAATTACCTATAGCATAGGCACATATGTGAGGAAAGCGGAATGGCGCATTGATGTTAAATAAGCTTTGAGGTGACCGAAAGATAATAACCAATCGAGATGCTGTTACGGTCGATTCCGTCGGATCGTAACACTTGGATCCTTCTATTTTTCGAAATTGTGTGGAGAAAATTGCACGAGCTTATTGCAAAATCCCGCATCGTTTTGTTAAAGTAATATATGGCAGCGGCTAAGAGAATGTTTATTTTTAATCCTTAGAAAATTAGTAAGCACAATATAAATCATGCCACACTGAGCTAAAACTTGTCAAGATAAATATCTCGGTTTTAAAAAATATGGGACACACCGGTCCTGTTTTAAAAGGCTCTTCGTAAATTACCTGAGCATGATATCGAAGGTTTCAGCGCACCGAAAACAAAACACAACAGATAGAGAGCAGTTGATCTCAATTAGGACACACAAAAAACTCGGTTCGTAAAATACGTTGAACTTAAAAGTAACGCCAAACATAATTTGATTTTTTGCTAGATTTAGCATCTCGCTTAAAACACATTTCATTTTCACTACATTTCCCAGGTTTTGCCCCGCTATTTACGAACGGCCAATATCTGCTTAAGTTATTTATAGCTTGACAAAAATATGTAAACATCGGCGGCTCCATCTCCTCAGTTAACAGTAATATTTCAGCTTAAGAAACTGCGGTTTATATTTATCTATTTTCTTTCTATCACTGTTAAAGCGTAATTAATAATTATCACTTCTAGCGACAGCTTCACGTGTTGACTGCGTTAACAGGCGAAAGGGCAATCCCACATTTTTTGGACGTTTATTATATCCGACTTGCCTGCATTAGATGATAGTAATCCTACAAAGTCAATATGGAGCTTATAGGTTAACATCTCACGTATATATATATATATATATATAGGAAAGAAAAATATATCTAGATAGGGTATAGCTGCTCTTGAATAATGCGCATGCGTCACCAGCATTCTTTTCTGATGAGTTGACGATTGTCATCGTAATGATCTCTTTGCTTTCGCTTTTCCAATAAGCGAACGATTGACGATTGCAGGCAGGATCAGTTTTAATAGCATTGATGATATGAAGATTAGTTATAAGAAGTTAATCATTCGCTGGTTCAAGTTGAGCATCGGTGTGTCTTCTTTTTATTACTTGCCAAAGTTTACGACATCTAAATAGCAGATTTGCCACATCAAGCGACAACCACTCAGCTTCGGAAATGAGCACTCGAACTCAAAAAGAATAGATGCATTAATAAATATAACAATTAAATAAACGATAAAAATTATAATTAATGGCTATAAAAAATGTCTATGATTAATTGAATCTCTGAGTTGAGTCTTGCGATATGAGCGTGGCCACGCGTGTTGAATCAGCGATAGCAGATCTCAGACCGGCCGCTGGCAAAAGAGCTTTTCAAAGGGGCGTGCTTCCAATTAGCCCACCGCCATACGAACCCAAATGCGCTTATGAAATCGTTGACGAAATTATCAGAGCGACATCAGATTTGGCATAGGGAATCATGCTTTGGTGACAGGCAGAATTCCGTATGCACTCGCAGTTCATTGTTGTACTCGTCCGCAACTTTAACACTGCGCAGTACTCGTATACAGGCCGACATACGCTGAAAAAATGAAGGAAATTACAAAATATTAGCATATAAAAGGTAGACGAAAAGCAATTATCCATCTATATCGCTCTAGGCCGATGCGCCTACACTGTCCTGAGAATCCTGCCTTCAAACTTTGTATCGCTTTTTATTAACGACAAAGCAAAGGTGCATTTGTATACTAGTCCGATATAGAGGATATTGACTATTCGCTGAACGTACACCGAACGAGTGTATAACTGAGCACGATAGGTACGTTCCGAATAACCACAGTCCACCAAACAGCAACGATGAACTGCGAAATTCTAATACGTTGCACGTTAGTATTTAACTCGTCAGGTTACTATGTAAACAAGTCGACAATTTAAACCTATTTTTCGCGCTTGCAAAAAGTGAGCCTTCTTGGCCTCACTATCAGGCCCTCTACTTAACTAAAAAGTACCTAAGTTGCAGTAAAACCTTAAGTAGTAAAGTACCTACTTCTTCATTCATGAACGACTAGTGGTTTAGCCTTAGCTGCGGCTCTATATCCAATTGCATAGTAGTAATAATCAATAACAGCTACCGACTGCAACTGGTAAAAGTTACCGACCCGTCTTTTTTATTTTCAGGGAGTCTTTTATCGATTAGGGTGTTTAGGCGTCAAGCATAGACAATATTTGGAAACACAAAGGGGGAAACACCATAAAGGGAAAATAACAAACGTCGCTGCTGACTCAAAGCAGGCACTATTGATCTTGTAATGCCTGTGGTATCTGAAGGGTCAACAAGATGTTTGAGGAATCGAAGGCACGATCCCTTTTTAACAGGTACAGCTTTTTTTACAGACCGGACAAACAAAAGCCGCCTCTAGGGCGAAACAAACGACCTTTAAAACGTAAAGCAGTTGTTTTGTCGACTAGCTTGGCTGGTGGCGTGCCTCCGCGATGACGAGGTGGTAAGATGTTTGTCGTCTGAAGCAATGCACCACGCAATAACGGAGATAAAATTTCAAATGTTCATCTAGTTACATCGATGATACATAACAGCAAATGCCGGCTAAGAAAAATTAGATTCATTCAATACCAGGCTTGTTCATATATTCGAATAAGCCTACTATTGAATGAACCTATATATATATGTGTAAAGCTCATAATCGATCGTTGTATGTCTGAAGTTAATGTTTAAACTTGCAATGAACGTTTTTTTTCACACGTTACAACTTGCGACACAGCATACGTTTCGCCGCAGCATAAGTTGATTTCGGAACAGTGTAAACATGAGCCAGTGTTATGCCGGGGACATATACGAAGCCCTCAATATAAACAAGATTATTTACCAATCGTAATCACGACAGAAGTGTTGCCTAGCATGCTGGCAGGGATTGTGCCATGAGCTGTGTTTAATTAAAGAAACAATGTTTTTAGTAGTTGGTAATAGCTGGCTGATGGGTGCAAGCGTTAGCCTCTTCTCGTAAGCATTATCCCGCTGTATACGGGTGTGAATAGGAGGCGGTAGCAGTAATTATGTTATTATTATTTCTAGCAGTAGTTGCAATGTGTTGTTAGTAAAAGACCATCACCTTTTATCATGCTTGATCATCACCGCACCGTCATCAGCATTCGGATTCAGTATGTGTAGCTTCTGCTGCGGCTGTCGGCCATCGCTGATCGGCCAAACTCATTAGCTTGTTGCGTTTTCCAGTGCTCCGATTTACCGGATAGGCAGAGTAGGTGCCGGGATAAAGAAGAAAGGCCGAAATCCCAAAGCTAGAGCGACCTATTACAGCATCATCTCACAAGTAGCGCAACAAGAGCCATTGCCCCAGCTATCCCCGTTTGAGGCCAGATGACACCGTACTTCAGGATGGTAGCATCCATCGAGATTGCGGCTGCAAGCACTTGAAGAATTCAACTCAACCCATGATGACCCTATTACGAGCTTTACAAGGAAGGATAGAAAGGCTTCCCAGGCCATAGTAAATAGGGCTAGAGATATGGTAGCACCCACAAAGACATCAATCATTACAGTGTAACATCAAAGACTAAAATTGTGGTTGAACACCAAATGCCTCGCAAGGCACCAGGAAGTTGTATTATATCGAGTCTTTCGTATTAACCCTATTTATTTTACTAAAATATTACAAATCGTTATTACTGTGTTTAACATTGATTCGCTATTATGTCTACCAGATGCATACAAACATACAAGTCACCTTTGTACAGTAACAATGTGCAAATTACGTTCCTGCATATGGGATCGTGCACACACGTACGCACGCATACACACACACAAACACACACACACACATATACGTATATAGATACGTCCGCATACGTATATACGCATGCAGATCTGTGTGGCACAGTTGTATGCCGTAGAGAGAAATACAGCATGCTCGTAGGTGCTGCCAGTATTAGTGATACAACCAAAAAGTAGGAAGAGTTCAAGAGGTAGCAAAGGGCGGGTCGGATATCGTTCTTCGAGACTGAGAAGTAAGCGCCATCCGGGACGTTTCCGAAAGATGATTTCCTAGCCGACTAAGTTTGCGACCTACCTTGTAAAGTACATGCAGCCTGGACGTAACGCTTTCGATTAGAAACAGATCTGTTTGTTGCAACTTGTCAATTGTCAGACTGCATTCTACGTTGCGGGAATGTGATCTCCAATGAAAAGAAGCAGTCTTTTTTATTTCGAAGTAGTCTGATTTCGCTGGAAAAGTGCCTGCCTTCAATTGAAATTGGCATACCTCTTACCCGTTCCGCATTGCACGGTGGACATAATCCTGCCTTACCGCCACCCTCCCTTATACTTATCTATAATTTAAATCTACCTGAAGTACTGTTTGAATACAACTACAAGATGTGTTACGTATTCTAATGCCAGCTGAAACCGTTATTGCGTATGGTCTCCGATCAAGTCTATGATATGCTGATATATATGTGCATGAATAAAGAGATGTCTAAGAGCAGCTAGTTCCTATGATAGTTGATATGATTTTACGCCGCATGAGTACGCAGTATCTCGGATATTTGTTTTTACGAAGGAGTATCTGTGGCGGTGCCGTTGTTATGCGTTGCCAACGCGTTCACGCCACTGGTATCGCCAAGTTGGCAGTGGTTGTAATGATGTTGAAGGCTATGATTACCGTCGTGCTGCGGCATAAGCCTTAGGGCTTGTGCCTGTTGAGCCTGATGAACGGTTGCCGCCGCGACTGCCGGGTAACTGCCGGCGGGTGCGTAGTGGGCTGCATGGGCGGCGTGGGCCGGGAGCAAAATAGGCGCAAGGGGTGAAGATATTGAAGGCATCGGTGTCAGCGAAGCCATCGATGTGATGGAAGAAATCGACGGTGGCATGAAGGCCAAGGGAGAGATCGGTGATAGTGAGGTAATAGGTGATAGAGGAGCTAATGGTGAAGTAGGTGATACTCGAGGTGAGGGTATACTTGCTGCACCAGGAGCTGCGGATCGAGTTGAGAAGGCGTTAGCAGTGACCGGTGCGCCCGGTGATGGATAAAAGAGGCCTGCAGGAAGTCCTGCTAAGGAACTAAACTGTGACGCCACACCAGTTGTAGTAGCGGCAGCGCCAAACGGCGAAATTTCACTTGGCCATCTGTGAAAATAATAAAAAGCACATTAAAAAAAATAATAAAAAGCACATAAAAAGAGATAAAATATTAACCTACATATACATTGAAGTTATACACAAGTGATATTTAAAAAATTGCGATAATTCTATGAGATAACTTAACAGTATAAGAGCTGGATATTATTACGAAAACCAGATGCAAATTTTATTTATTTTAGCCTAGAGTATAGGTTTTCTGGATCATTATCACATTGTACTTTTCTGATATTATATGTTGCATTGACAGCAGAAATAGATTGTTTTAGATCTTGTAGTGGTTGGAGCACTTAGACGTCAATCGGCTTCAACCACATATTCATCAATTTAAACAAAAAGTATCAAAAACATATTCGAAATAAAAATATTTGTTGCCCCATTAGAAACCTTTCAATATAGGTGTCAGTGCTGAAACAATATTGCTTTCGAAATTATGATTTGATGGAGGAACAAAACTAGAATTTCTGTGGTAGCCTCTAAGAACCCTAAAAAACGTTTACAACAGGCCTGGCAGTAGTGCTCCAGTGATCTCCCAAGATAATATTAGTAATTCTATCTATCGTCCTTCTTATAACTCTACTGGCCGTATAAGTGTTTAGTTTTGAATCTGAATCTAGACGATCTGTTTACCAACAGACATGTTACTGCTGTACTGTCGCGCGGATATCTATAAGTAAACTACATACTTGATCCAATCGTTCAACAAGGAGTCACCTGATATTCACTGGCGGCTATAGCAAACGTTTGATTTGAAACACAAGATAATTAGGCTATCACGTTTGTAACAGTCATTTATAAGCGCAGCTAATACGTGTTATTTGAAAAATATACCTAGGGATCGGTAGACCGCCCAGGCCAGGCCGAGGAGTAGTTAATCCACCAACTGGCGACGAAGACTGCTGAACCTGTAAACCTTGAAGAACCTACAAAATAAATTGGCATGATATTTTACACGGAATATAATAATTTAGTGCGCGACATTCTCTTCAGCTAATGAGCTTCCACACACATTAATTAAATACTATGAAAAATTGCGTCTACTTAACACAAAAATGCACCTGATCTTAAGCCAAGAATACAAAGTCACATGTGACCGCAGTAGAAATGTTAATGTCATTAGGGTTAAAGGAGATCTTTAGGGCGCAAACCTCCACCTCGCAAGGTTTAGGTATCGTTGTGGATGTCACTTTGACTACAATAATCCTCCACTCGGCACCGCCACAAGGGTCAAACAAATTTAAAGCGTTACCATAGATCTTATAAACAATTCTCATTGATAATAATTTTATTTATTTAATATCTGTTTCTTCTGGAAGGATAAGCAAAACAAGTACCAAGCTTCCAACGGACACCCACCGAAACTACGAGCTGCCTTTGTCGTCCACTGATAACTGATTCGGTAACCATTTTATCTCTATTTCTTATTGTCATATCGGTACTGTTTTTCTAAGAGATAATACGACCAGCGCCCGGGTTACTATTAGGATTATTTCTGTGCGCTATTGGGACGACTGAATAATGACCACAATCTGGGCCCATGCACACCTCGTCACTCCTATGTAAAACAAAACGAAAAAGTACGTCCAGATTCAAAAAGGTGTATGACTACGCAACAAAAGTCCATTGTTTTATTGAACTTTTCGCTTCGTTATTTTAGAAACAAACGATAGATTGATCGTTCGATTCGAGAATAGGATCGGATGAATAGACATCGACAAAGAAAAAAAGGTATCTGCAACGATGTTCCGTAGATTTCAATATCATCCAACTTCTGAGTGAACCGTTTTTTTCAATTGCACGACTGTTAAGTTTATTTGAATCGCTATCTCTAGTTACAAATGAATAGCAATACTTACTGGTAACATGTCCTCCAGTGAACACTGGAAGACCTCGATATATCGTTGCTTCTTATTGATGACAAGATACCGGTGATGTCTATGAGCAGCGCAAATGAAAGCACTCTGCTCTGAATCCATCTGAATAAACGCTTCTCCGGAGGGTTGGCCCTGTAACGTACGGTACCATGAGTTAAACCTTCATCTATACGTGTATTAGAGGTACGGATCAAAAAAGAACGGTATCGATCAATCTTCAGCGCCGTTTCAGGAAGCGGGCCTGCTTGACTGAGCTGTAATATGTGACACATTTTTGTACTACTGTTAACGAAAAGAAGACGTTAGTAGTAAGCGCCGATTTCTTTATATTATATGCGCGCAAAGAAGTTCGACCACGTGTCCAATCTGTGTGTGCCTTACATCGAACTAACCTGAGCATTGTAGATCATGTGTACGCCATGATAGATAATATTCTTGGCGTATTCACCGAGGAAGTCGAGGATGTGCTCCACTTGCGCTTCGTACGGAAGGCCACGGAGTCGTATGCAATCCTTGCGCGAGCCTAGAGACGCTGTTTGACTTTGTAAAAGAGGCGGCGGCAACAAGGGGACCTGTAGCCATAAAAATATTAGCTAATTTTTCAGATAACCACTCGTGCAGACCAAAATGTAGAGATCGGATACAATACTATCATTTTCAGGTGCGTGTATAGCCCGTTTGCAAATCGACTCTGTACCCCCGACAGTAACAAACCCTATGAGAACTAAACGATAGAACCTGCCCCCACACGACAAATGCTATAGATATAACATCTAGCGTATCAGAAGTTGGATAGTTTCACTCATTGCTGTTGGGTGCAACCCTATTGTTATATATTTGATGATGTACCTGTGAAATATTGGCCAACAAAGGACTATTTGCACTCGTGGGCGACGGCATTTGTGGTCCTGTTTGTTGCTGTTGTTGTTGCTGTTGTTGCTGTTGGAGTTGTATAATAAATTGGGCGTTTCGGTTATGAGTGTCCATCGTTCGATTCAGCACCTGCTGTACTTCTGCGGTTGAACTGCGGAACAGTTCGATGTACCTATATAATTATTTGGATACACGAATACAGATATTAACAATCGCGGATCTCATAGGTACTTGTATGTACATTGGAGCCACGCGGCTCTTAGCTAAGTATTCGTCTGCTAATCTTACGGATACCGGACGTAAAACTCGAAACATAGAGGTATACATTTCGAACATGTATCAATGTATGGCTTGGACGGCTAAGTTCGTGCTTATCAAACGCTAGAGACCACTCATCCGAGTCCTTTGAAAGTACATTATACTACATTCCGCCGACGTTGCCTGGATCGTTACCATACTCGTTTTTGGCCCATATTTACCTGGCACCGATGGTTTCGCGGTGTTTCGCTAGCGCACGATCAGCCGCCTCTTCGCTCGCGAATAGCACAAATGCATCCCCAGTTGCACGGCCGTCGGGCTTTTTGACGAACATAATACCTGTGTGATCAGTATAGGTAGACAGTTATTGATTCTCTGGGATGCCCGCTTTTTCTTTCTAGTCCAATTTGTACGTTTACAGGTGAGAGGTAAATGAGCGTTTCAGGGTTGCCTATTATTTGAGACGGACATTTCTAATCAAGCAATGCCAAGCGTGCTATTGATTTTTCACTGATCCTCCAGTCTGATCTCAGCTCGCTAGAGGCATCTCGCAGTTGACTACGAAGTCGTATATATATATCTGAATGGCGAATCGGGCACGGCATCTAGTGCTTTGGAATAATTCTAAATCGTTCCATATTGATAATGAACTGTTATATACTTCTTCTTGTACCAGGTTTATCAAATCAGAGATCTTTGCATATCATAAGATAGGCTAACATAAATATTTATTTGCTGCGTCGAAATAATTCATCGATTGCGTCGCATCAATCCTAATTCAACGCGTTATTATTAGTGACCGAATGGATACCTTCATCGCTATCCGTGAGCACTTGGATGGGTGGATCATTCTGACCGAAGAAGTCGATGATTTGTTTAGCCGTACAATCGTAAGGAAGACCTCGCATACGAACGATTACTTGTCCACCTCGAGAGAGAAACGCCTGTGCTTCATCGTTGTTACCTGTTTGTGCGGTGGTGCATAATCGCGCAAGAAAACAATGGCGCATCCAATTCGTTAGAAGATTTAGCGGGTTCCTCTCTGCGTCTACGGCAAAAAACCGAAATTTTCGAAGAACAGCCAACTAACCATCCATTGAACTTATCCGTTCCAGCTGGAGCGTAATCAACAACTTGAAAATACTCACTTATCGCATCGCTGTCGACCAATTGATCTTTCCCAACAGATTACAGAAAAGCCAGGCCGCCAAACCCATAACGAAAATGATAGGATTGGCACAGACTGCTTAATTTTTTTTCTCATCGCGTACCTATAGTATCACAGAGGAAACTTTTATCTCAAACAGATTTTCTTAGTAAACTGATCTCTATGTTTATGCAGAAAAAGGCATTTTTACGCTAGATATGAATCTGGCTCAAAACATTATTTCATGCTAGTGCAACGGATTCGCAATCTCCTTTCTCATCCTCATATTTTTTGTTGTTGTTGATATTGTTGTGAAGATAGATGACTATACAGTGGCGCGTCTGCAAAAATATCGAATCGGAAAAACGCGATAGCCGAACCCTGTGTTTTTTCAAAATTTTAGACTACTTATTTATCTGTAGAGCATGCTTCCTTACAAAAATTCAGCTCTTTCATCTTTGGGGCAAGGACTGAGTACAAAAAGGCTACAGCTAATCATTTAAAATCCACGTTTGTGATAGGCAGGCTGGACGTCTAATTTTTACGACAAAACGTTTTTATAGAATAAATGAGTTATAGAAAACACTGGCCTTTTGTTTCGGACTAAATAGGTTTATTTATATTGGCCTGCATATTTGCTCTGAGCTGTTTTTTTTTTCCTAGTTAAACTGTTTCGATATCTCCCAATAATTATATTGAATACAAAAACATGAAACTCAGCAAAGTAGATCCGAGAAGATAAACATTCTAGTTGTAAGGAGCACGATTTCTTGTTGTTAGTGATCTCAATTATTCCAACAAACGTTTACGAATCGCTTCGAATTTTTATTTTTTGGTTTTCCTGCACCGCAGCACCAAGACATCATCAAGACGTATGTACGTAAAATGCTTTAGTTTAAGATGGCAAATACAAATCGGTGCACTCAGTAAGACATGATCCTTTGAAGAACGAGCGATCGTAGCACAACGTTAGCCGTACAAAATGTTCCATACTATATTTACATATAGGACGAGCCCTAAATCAATTATATAGTTTTTAAGCTGCACATATATTCTAGCATTCCGTATGCTTACGCCGTAAATGGTCCACATGCGAAAATAACTTCGCAAGATGCATTGTAACTTAATCAGCAAATAAAAAGAATTAAAGACATCGGCTAGTAGGTTCCTTCCTATTAATAAGAAGACGCCTGGCCTTTGGATACTGACACTACGTGGCACCTTGCTGAACTCAGCCAAGGTGATATGGCCAAATATAAAGCGCACTCACAAACGCTACGTCGATTGTTACACTTTGAACTGGAGCTTATTTCACCGCCCGGGTCGAATGTTTTTCTGTCCAACAATTTAACGTACAAGATATTTAATAAACGCCATGTGCCATCTCTCGTATACGTATATGGATGTATTTTTACCGAATTTGTAATTCGCTCGCAAATTCGGCGAATGAAGTGGGAAAAGTCCGCTTCGATTTTTCTGCGCCTAGCATTCATTCAGCGGTTCTCTACCACCTAAAGTAAAAACAATATATTCTGTTAACTGAAGTATTAATGAAAAATCAAGGCGCCGTTGTTCGCAAGGTATTAACGACAGCTTAGCGACCCCTACAAATGGCTGTAATGCTGGCCAATTTAACTAGCAGTGTTCGATAGAGGAACAAAGAGTCCGTTCACTTTATACGTCCTAAGTAACACTGAGTAACTTCTCGTTGCTTTTTTGTCATGGAACATTCGTCTATCAGAAGCATCTCTGGTTAACTGAACTGATTGTTGCGCCACCTACGTAATTGAACGTGAATGTACACGTACGTATGATTTGAGATATGAGAGCCTGGTAGGTTTGCTCGATTAGCTGCATCTGCTCAGGACAAGTAACAACTCCGACACCAGGAACCACTAGAGGATATTGGCTTGCCCTAGTTGAATTTCCCGCCGCTGCTGCAAGAGTCCAATCCATCTTCGACACACGGTAGCACAAGGACAGCAAAGGTGACAATAAGACTGTTGTCCTTTAAAGACTTGCCGTTTTCCTATCTGTCGTCGCGGGAAACAGCGGTTTCAGTCCTCCAAAATGCCCAACACTATTCGAAGTTTTATTTCTTGAGTTTTCAATTGGCCGAATTCAATGTTCACATGGCTCAAGGTGTCCGTAAAGCCTTAAGTTACGTTCTACAGACTTCGTCAATTAGTCTGTGTAAGGTTTCATTTAATCCGTAAGTACAACACACTAGTTTCAAGTTAATCCACTGTTACGCCAGCATTACGCACAGCCTGTTTCTAGACTGGAAACATCTTACACAAGATGGCTATCCCTGTGAAGGATCCACGCTGTGCATGAACTATATAAACACTATTACGATTTAGTATCTAATAGATTCGGTCAAATTGGCGCGTCCAGTCGGCCGACCGCCTAACGATTGCCATCGCCGTTACCGTCGTCACCGCTACCACTTCCTCTAGGTTTCTCAGGGAGTCATCCGCCTGTTCACTTCGATGTATTGTAATTCAGTTTAGCTAGAGAGTTTACGGTCAAATCGTAACTGTTCACGTGCGGCCTAAACGTGTGCAGTGACGGAATACTTATGTTGGCTGGCGGCGAGGTCCGGATTGGCGCGACTCAGCAGAACGCACAGGAATGCCCCTTGGCCAGTCGTCGTCGTCGTCGTCGTCATGTTGCTATGTCAGTAGATGTTATTGCCCCAAATTTAGAGGGCGAAATTACTGCCAACAGCCAGCTCCAAAGTAAACCTAGGGAACGGTTTCTGTGGCGAAATGTTCCTATCCACTGCGTGAATATCCATAGACGAGCGCGTTACATCGCTAGAGGTCAGCTTTTTCGGGGATCCTGAATCTTATTCGCTTACTCTGGTGGAGAGGGCGCCCCGTTTGATAAGATATTATCTCACCTTTATCGCTCAACGCTGCAGCAGCACACCGACAACGTAAGAAGACGCCGCTAGGAACACCAGGCAGCAGGGAAACCAGAACAGCTACCGCGTAAAAACGCGACACACAGACGCCATCTTTGTACACAAAGCGTCATATCTGCCATAGCTACTACTATCGCCACGACGTCAGCTGCTGCTGCTACTGCCGCCGTCGCCGCTACTGCTATTCTTCCTTTAAATCCCGCTACATCAGACTGGCAAAGCTACTGAATGACTGTCTCGACCCGACATCATGTTTTGTTCAAAATCCGTTTTACAAGTAACTTGAGTTGTACCTGCATTCGCTAGAAGTGCCCTACTAGATTACTAGAGAGCCAGCCTCAGGTCTTAGGTTTTTCGTTTTACATGTCCTTGAACATTTGCATCACCCCTACGCCTGTGCGCAAGACGAAGTTCCAACTTAGTGAGTTTCCGACGTTCGCTTACTGTATTTAACATAACTCTAACTGGTACTGGTACTTGGGAAACGATTCCAACCTGACGAGCTCAGCGCTAGAATTCGCAAACAGCCTGGTAGGCGTACCAACACGGGCCAAGTGGTGAAGATTTAGCTAGTAAAGGATTCATGTTTTGGTTAAAAAAAATGTGTTTACTTTCTCTAACAACATCGCAAGCTATACATGTTTGAATCGCGCTCCCAACGGCCAAACTAAGCTGGTGTATAATGCGAGAACGCGAGAGTTACCTTTTTCAATCGCAAGCCGGCGGCGTATCTGAGCTAATTCTTCGATCGAGTGACGCCAAAACACGAGGCAGTCGGCGGCTTATTGCAGTAATAGCATAAATAAGATGTTTATAACAAATAACATCACCCACATTGCACAGAGGGGCAGCACCGTCGACACTGATGAACAGCGTACGAAAAACCAGACAAACAACTGTCGCCTCTTGAACCTGCAAAGGCCAGGGTGAATGCTGGTGACGGGTTATCAGTGGCCATACATCGACGACGACAACGGCGATGATGATGAGGAAATAGACAAAATAATCACATACATACTTTTATGATGTTTAAGATTCCCGCCGCCCAAACTGGTCCGTTTACGACCTATTGACTAACCTTTTGCAGCAGAAATAGCTATGAAATCAGGCAGAGGCCTAATGGTCGATGTCGTAGACGCTTTGAATATAAAAAAACAATAGTGAGTATATTTATTCACACCAAAGGCCTGACCGTTCAAGTTGCTTTTCTTCTCACTAGAAAATGGCGCAGTATTGACAGTGAGCTAGAGAATTAGTAAAATATTTTGTAGCCGGAAATAACTACTGTAAATTTGATAGGGATATAGTAATTATACGGTAAAGTCGTTATAAAGTTTACCTTCTTGCAGATTCATCGCAAAAGTTATAACAATATTCATTTGCAGCAGTATGGAAATATGTTTGGCCTTCCCCGCTAAAAAAAATGTCTGTCAGAATCAGAAAGTAAACTTTATTATGTGAGTTAAATAAAACAAAAAACTGAAAGATCAATTCTGTTATAATTTACTGGCCATATTCATATAAGTTACTTGCCACCAGGACAATAATATCTACTTCAATAGTCAGTCAATATAGAGTGCTACTTCTCTATAAGTTACTGCTTCTTCGAAAGCTTCTGACTAAAGGATAAGTTTCTTAGCAATGCTCAGTCTAATAATGAAGAACGGCGATCGTATATTTTATGATCTGTGACCTCCCTTTCTCCTTTCTCTGTTTAGGCTATAAGAATAATGATAATACTGCCCATAGTAAGTACAACATTGATGTGTGCAGATTTTCGGTCAATTGTGCAAAGCTAGCCGGAAATCATTACGCTTCACCTAGTGAAGCATTTTAAGCTAGCTTGCAATCTTTGCGACTACAGTCGGCTGCGTCAACTTTATATAATAATAAAGTTAAGTAATTGAAAATATCATAAATATAACAGAACGCTTACGTAACTTACACCTATCGACTCCCCAAATGCGATAACTTTGAATGATGTCACCATAGCACATGGCTGTCATCTGGGTTTTGGCGATTTCATTGATGCCAAAGCCCGCTGTACCCCACTGTGATATCTAACAGGAGTGCACCATTTACGACCGCTGCGTTACCGACACTCGTACTACCATGTTACCATTTGTCTTTGTTGTTACTAGGTAGGCTTCCTTTGACAATTCAAACGCTCGTCATTTCTAGATGATCAAGATTGCTCTGATGCCAGCATCCTTAGGCAGAAATGTACACAGATGCATAAACCGTTTACAAAGCAATTTTAACTTCAATACAAATATGTAAATGTACGGCCTGTGCATTGGTAGTAGAAGAGGGAAGTGCTTATGATGTTTCCCTGACAAATTTTTTATTGATACGCGAAATAGCTTCCGTTCTCTCATCGTTTGAGTTACATTACGGACCCAACCGGCCGACTAACGAGTAGAGGGCGCGGTGAACAGACGATATCTCAGCGGTATCTTGGGGCGACATCCCACAAGGTGCAATAACACTCAAAGCTTTGTGCGCATCGTGAAATCATGTTATGACAAAACTCGTATCGATAAATAGCACTGAAAACTAGCTTCAACACATACTCTACTGCAATAGAAAAACGCGTTTGGGATGCGAGTTCTTTTTTTTTTTTGGACTTGTAATGGGTAGAACATTGTCTCTCGTCGTGTCTCCGTAACTGAAGTATATACAGGACTCGCTGTACGCTCTAGTAAATAAACCCTGGCCCTCTTGACATATCTGAAGCAAAGATTTTGTTTGTAACTTCTTTTTTCAGTTTTAGGGTCCTGTGACCTGCACGGCCCGCCACGCGACCAGAATAAGTTCTATAAATTAGTGATGTCGTGTTTTGACTTCATGTCTAAATAAAGATTTTCTGCACAAGCGAGCACAATTTGGGGGAATTTTATATTAGCTGTTCCGTTGCTCTAAGTAGCAAATCCAAACGGACACATCCTAAAGTTGTATCCTGTTTTAATCTATGCTTATTACAGGACGACAGGTATAACTAAAGGAGGTATTGTTACGCATAGACGAATCTAGAGCTTCCGTAGCGTTTGCGCCCGATAAAAGTAGCGTTTTAAAGTTCAATATTAATTTTTCCATATCAGCGGCATATAACAAGTCTATGAATGTCTCTATCTGCAAAATTAACATGGTTGCTAACCATGGTGGAGCATACAAGCGACTGATTAACCGATACTCAATCGGCCCAGAAGTCTTCAATGCTTTAGAAATGCGTCAATACAAACGAAGGTTGCTGGCAAGAAGCGTACATTAAACAGAGACGTAATAAGAACGGTATCTAGCCTACTTAGGTACTTGTAGCTCCGGTTTCGAAACCTGTACATGGAAGCAGATATACCATGGGTTTATTGAATTAGTCTTATGACTATTGCCTTTAAAATATAGTACACCTACCTCCAGCCACGTTAACGAAGTCTTCACCCGTGGCCCTATAAACTTCAATGTATCTTTGTCCAATATGGTGTCGATGTCTTCGTAAAGCCATATCACGGTGTTCTGCGGACTCGAAACGAATCAGCGCCTCACCATTGCGACGTCCCATCCCAGTGAGACACAGAGCCACACCACCTCTGTTCATAATAAAAAAAAAAAAGAAGAAAAAGTTCCTGAACGCATTTACGGCAGCATATTCAAGTGTACGGCTAATAGCTTGCAACATACTGAAACTATAATCGACACATTACTTCGGAGAAGTTATTGTTTAAATATTAATGTTTTCAAATATAGGGGATTCTTTTTGAGTTATGCGTACACCTAGCGCCAAGCGCGTTCGGGTCGAGAACTTTCATTTTACGGAGGAAACGACGTACACAGATTTCAGAGACGTACACACAAGGACTGTGGAAGTTTTAAATGCTTATCAATTTAATGCTGTAATATTCTATTAACTTTTTTCAAGTTTATAAATGTGCGTTATTACTTATTATTAAGTTGACAAAAACAATAAAAAAAGACGAACTTGACGATGTTAAGTCCCCGGAAGAATTCTGCTATATCTTGGTCGGAACTCTGCCATGGGAGTCCTCGGGCACGAGCTACACAGCCACTCTCAATCGTGTCGCCTTTTGAACTAGAAATCATATCATCATAAAGCGTAAACGAAAATGGTTATCGTACTTGGTGTTTATGAGCATAGAATTGCAGGATTAATTACCACCCATTCTTACAATACACCAGTGCAACCGTGCATGAAGCCAACAACATGCACATACATTATGCACGATAGATGATTTGATGTAACCCACAATCAATCACGAAGCAAGCTACATCTGATTTCGCCACCACCACCACCCTTTTAGGTAACAGTTGGATACGGCCGTAGGCCTTTACTACTTTTATCAATGACGCGAGAAAACCTCGTAGTGAGCCCTCCGAGATACCTACAGTGACGTACTGGAAATTCCTTACCGCCGTATATCCGTTGCATAAAAAAACTACAAAGTACTCCGCTTAGAGTTACTAGAATTTATTGATTTGTTTATTGTGTTGGCGTTCTGTTGTTGTGTTGCATGAGGCTGTCCAAAGTTCTTGCTTGATCCCAGTCTTCTTAAACTCATGCAACTTTGCGGCTTGTGTGTTTGAATAAGGCTTATTTATACTAAGCTGGAAAAAAAACACAAGCAAAAACTTACCAAATTCCGGGTTCTAATCTTTGGAGTACTACCTCCGGTTGTGTAAACTTATGCCCTAAAATTAAAACACGTTTACGTTAACTGTAGTCGACGACAGGCAATAAGTTCAAATAACAACGTTTATCCTTTGTTGAATCATTCACGAATGACATGTACGCTTGTTTGCCGTAGCGGCATCTAAGTTATCAAATCGTCTTACCGTCATTGAGCATCCGACACACAATGGAAGCCATATTCTGAAGTTGACGAGAGATAAACTCGGCGCTGTTATCCGCGTCCAACGAGAGATCTGAAGATACAGCGGAAATTTTGCTTTCTTGGAGAAGTAAATGATATGCTGTTCTTATGTCGGTATTATATATTACGGTATTATATATTATTAATATATTACGGTATAATTAGAGCTAAACAATCAACCATAATGGTGCGCAGATTATTCGTGCACACATGGGCTGTAAGAGTGTATGTATACATTCTATGAAACATTCTTCTTACATACATTAAGATCTATTCGTAGTTAGTTCCTCTTACAACCGTGGTAGATGACACAGTTGGGACACTTTGAGAATATTTGGAAAAGTTCGGTAGGAAATAATTTGGCTCCTAAATTCGATCATTTGTTAAAGTTGGCTTGGTTTATAATGCTTTCCCAGATCTCGTTCCCGTTGACCTCAGATGATCGCACACTTACAGTTGAGCATATCGGCGACAGTATTAGGAACGGAGTCGGCATTGTAGAATCGTGCAAACTCTTTCCTGAGATCGAAGAATGAAAACAGGCTCGATGGCAGAACGAGCTGGTGACGGACTGACTCCGGATGAAGAACCTAGTTGGTGTGTATTTCGAAGGACGTCGACATGCGTAAACAACAAGGACATAAAAAAACATTGTTGCTACATCTTTAGACAATGAACAGTTACAGCATGAAATAAGAGCAAACGAAAGCTTCTAGTTTGATCGGGTCACCTCTGTAGCTTGTAGCTCTCTAACATGGTCCTATCTACGGTCTTTAGTTCTGCCAATGCTTTACGTCGAATATCTAAAATAAAGAATTAGAATACCATCAGTAATAAATTGTTTAAAGTCATATTATTTTTTCGCCGTTGTGAACTAAATGGGGTTATTAGACAGTTCGAAGAAAGTACGAAGGTTAATTCATTGCGAGACAAAACTATATCGAAATATCACTTTATTACCGAGAGTATTTGTCCTGCATAGTTTTATTATTATATAGGCAAACTTTACTAACCTGTTATAGATACGATTCTATATAAATGGAATAACATTGTTTCTAGTAGCATAATCCTGACGAAAAGCTAACTAGGAAAATATGTAGGCAGATATTGAGACAGCGTTCGCTTTTCAGACGCTAGAAGTTGCCCAGTTGGGGACTTTTTATTGGCTCTAGCCCACACAGTAAGCCCAACGTGCATGGCACGATCAACTTGTAGCCGTTGTGCACTAGCAGATACTCTTAACGACGAAACGAGAATGTGTCATTTGGGGGGTAACGAACAATTTCGGCTGGCTAATAAAAACGATAGACGAACGGCTTAAACGATCTCTGCTTTCATAGCAAAAAAAATATAGGCTTGATGCACGATCCAATTAAGTTTGACAAGATCTTAGGTTGGCTGTAAGAAAAATATCGTCTCTGCCCATAGACTCCATCGATCGATTTAGTATTACTGTGTAGCATTGCCCAAAGCATTTGTTCGGATAGGGGATTTAATACGAGCAATACGAACCGACCTAAATTTCAAACCTCAATTATACCGCGTGTCCTTAAAATCAGTAGACAAACATGTTAGCACAAAATCACAGAGCTATTCTGAGCAGCGCTAAACATCCTGGTACGCGAAACGGCTGGACGCAACAAGCAAATCAAAGTTGCGCACGTTAAACTTACTCTGAGTAGTTTCGAACACTTACATATGTAACGTGTTATGATTTTTTTGCCGTTTATTGAACTTGAGCGAGAGTAAGTTGATTTTGTTATTTAGTTAAGTTTGTTTACCAATTAATTCTGCCTTGGAACAATTGGCTACCATCTACGTTTGGTTATAAAAACAATAACTCCGCTAAAAAAAACAAGAATCATTTTGTGAAGAAATATTTGAGCCTGAATGAAAAGGAAAAAAATTCTGTCGCATTATAGTAGTCAATAGATCTTTCCACTGTACGGCCGAAATAGGCTCAAACTAATTCATTTGTTTTCAAAAAATATTGTCTAGAGACTTCTACGTCGTCAGTCTAAGTTGTTTCTCAAAGCGGGTTTATTGGCCACTCATGATTTAATACCTTTCGTTTTAGGAAGGTCTGTAGTTATAGCAAGAGAAGCTCATGCTTCATAACCCTCTACTGCTAGATCGAAAGGTTATATTGTTTCGTCAGTAGAACCGGCAAAATTTCTTTTAAGAGCCACCACATGTGATACGTGGCGGGAAGCAGCGACACGTGGTACAGAGGGGCAAAACTGCAGCGTCCTACTTCGAATTGATATGTATTTACGTGCTCGCTTTCCTATTGCAACAATCGTGAGGTATGATCGTTGGCGACCAGCGACTAACTTGCCGAGTAGTGGATGTCATGCATCCATCGCTGTCCGGAGCTAGAAATGCATTGGCTATGAAGTTTGTTAGTCTCTTTGACCAGGTAGGAAACCAGGGGCAACCTTTCCTAGTGTCTCATTGACCGGTGGTGACACGCCGCTCCCGTGGCCCGCATAATTATACTGCTCGACTTGCTTTTCGACGCTACATTTAGGTTCGAACTTATGCAGCAGTTTCCAAGATCTGTCAGTTGTAGGCGCAGAAGATGGGCTTTTTAGGTAGGGGCGTTCAGCGCGAAAGGCTTCCGCTGTCGAAGCCGGGCATGGGCTTCTTTCCACAGCTTAAATACAAAACGACCGAACGTTTGAGCTGATCGAGACTTCGCTGCTTCCTCTGGCAGCCCAGCCTTGAATCCCCGAAGTAATCCGAATGAAGTTGCACCTAGAACCTCACTGGCCATAGTACCTGCCGAAAAAGCGACACTGGAAACAACTCACTGTAACCGTGCGAATTGTTCTTTTCACCAGCTCATTAGCTTGCGGACGGGCTACAGCGGCCATTAAATGGCGAATGTTCGAATGCACTAGATACTGCTGGCCCCGGAAATTGCGTTACGTAAGAGGACGGCGTCCATGGCCTTGTACCAGTCCTAAAGGGCAGAAACGGCCTTTACTACTATCCAGGCTGTCGTGGAACGAAGGCCATGCAGGATACTAGCTAGCAACATTTTACCAGATGGGGAGAGATCCATTCGCCAGAGCCCTTTCAAACCTGAAAATGTCATCTGGTAAGGGATAATCTACGCAAAATGGACGATTGCCTTCACCGAATCGGGTAGCAATTTGGTGATTTTGGCCAAGTCTCGTACGAGTCAATAGCAATTAAACGCTAGCCCTCAGAAACTTCGTAAGTGACAAACAATAGGGAATGATGACGTTTCGTATGACAAAAAAACACCCGACGTTTTTAGGTGTAGACCGACGACGCTGAGGACAGAGACAGTTCCCAAAAATGTCGCAGATGCTTCTCGAAACCCGGGAGAATATGGTGTTATCGAGACAAACGACGGTCATCTGGTGGCGCAACCTATGCAGAGCTCGGTTCATCAATTTCTGAAACATCGCTAGGTAAGCCGAAACGCATTCGCTTGAATTGACTTAAATTGTCCAAGTTACAAAGGCACTCAGCTTCCTGTTAACTATACAAAATCGGATTGGGTCGTTTCTTTGCTCACCAAAACGACCGGGCAAATCCACAGGCTGGATGAGAGCTCGATCATGTCGACATGTATACTTGCTGTTCTTTTACGATATGGGCTTACGATGTCGACGCGAGTCGCTGCGGGTGTGCGTAGAAGTGGGCATGGTCACTGGTGAGTAAAATATGATTGACGAGGTGTGTCACAGACAGCTTCTTTGCCCTCTCGAATAAATGTTTAAATTCGTTACGTAGCAGCCTCGTCAGGTTCTATAGTATAGGATACGCTATAAATAAAACGACGGAGGAACTTCTTAGAGACTCCCGACGCTGTAAGTGGCGCATGTTCCCACGTTTGATCTAACCTAGTACCACGTTTCATAAATAATGGCCGTCTTTCGATGCCTTCACACGTCCTGCACGAGTCAGCAGTCACCACGCTGTACAGAGTCACGCATGTACACATAGGCGATACGTGCATGAGAATGTCTTCCTGAAGCGTGACAAAGGTACCGATTAACCTTTCCCGGCCACGGCGACGTAAGAACGACTCTTCTTACCCTGAAGCACAACATCTAGTTTATTGCTGCGACGTGGGCCATCTGGTCCTATTTGACCCTTACCTTGGCTTTTCCGGCAACAGCCCGAGGTGTCCGTCGGGCATCGCTGAGCCTACGAGCCGCTCGAACCCAGGACCATGTCTTGGTGTGTTCCACAAACCTGGTCAATACGACACTCATTTCAACGGCCACTACTTTTTGTGGTTAGGCCATAAGCAGTGTCACCTACGCCAATTATTTAGTAGTAGGGTTGTCGTCAAGAATCAGAAGTCCGGCCTTTTTAATCTGCTGCAGACCTACGAAGCGGTGGGCTAAATCTTCCACCATATTATTTTGTATCTACCGCTATCGCCAGATTTACAAGAATGACGACGTTTGACTGCTAGATGATTTTAGCGGCCGGCTGGACGGTATTACGGACTTCTCGCTGACTGTAATTGTAACAACATATGTGCTCCGCGTCCGTTTTTTCGCGAAGCTGAGTTATACTCTGAGGTCACTTAGGTCCCTCAATTCCGCTATAGTATTCGTATTGATGACAGCTGGCTCGAAATGCGGCAGCTCACATAGCCTCTAGATTGCTCATATCATACCAATGAAACTATAGGAGAAAAGTGAAGCGTTCAATAAAATGCCGAAATCACGCAAAGCTACTCCATATAGACTCCTATTTGAAATCTATTAGAAAAAAAAAGAACCAGCAGGGCGAATCGCACGAAGTTTCTAAATCATTTGCAGAACATTCTGACAGCTTAATAGTATTAAAATTCCGAGTTAGCGTTGTTTGGTTTGGAAAAGGAATTGTCCCACGTTCCCCTCTACGAACAGTGCCAATAAGCTTAATGTTAAAGTTCCCAGATGTTGCCAGTCAATGACACTCACCATGCAGCCATTGTGAAGACTCACGCAAACTTTGCACAAAATGACCCCTAATTTTTCCGGTTTAGCAACGAGAAGAGTTACGTAAGTGAACTTAGCTGATTCCCTGGTACGTTTAGGCCTTAAACGCGACAGTGTATGCTTGCTGCATGGATTGGCCGTTCTATAACGCTGAAAGTAGGACGTCAAATGTCAGCTAAACGGGACTGAATTATTTTTACCTGTCGAAGATGAAGTTGGCCATCAGTGACAAGCTGGAAATCCGCCGGGTCAGAACAATCAAGTCTCGTTTGTAGGAGACTGATAAACTCTTCAATCACCTAATAATTAGAGTGACAGGACGAATAAAGGTAAAAAAAAAATAGTCAGAGAATATTTGTTCAACAGTTCATAAATCCATAATAGGCCACATCCTATCATTTAGAGAAGTGGCAGTCCTAGAACACAGTCACGATCAAAATTTTCAGTCATAGCACTAAGTTCTATTATTGTCTGTCTACTTTGTAATACAGACAAGCAGAACGCGTTGTTCTCGTGTCTGGATGCTCCGCACCGCGAAATGGGCAGCTCCAGTACCTGGGAAAACGTATATTACATATGGAATTTTAGATCCGACATTGACAAATACTTTAATCCGATCAATAGCGATGTTAATTTTAATGATATTACAGAATCATTGGGCAAGGAAATATGGGCAAGGCGCTGTACAATTGATTTTCACCTTCAATTCGACTTAACGTAAACATCTAGCAGATTATGAAAAGTAGGGCATTCTATCTATAGAATCTGTTGAGGAATCGACTTCAGATTATGAGTTCCATAGCGAGTCATAGTCACAGTGCGTCGCATCATATTCGAAAAGATGATGAGTGTTGCAAAGCTGCCATACAATCTTGGCGCAGGATAGGGGTTGATAAGCAACCGGTAGATGTACATTTTACCTCTATCAATAAAGGATCAATTTATTACAGATAGGATTATTGTAAAAGAAAGAAAGGAGGAATGAAGAGTATTGTCGGAATACGGGTCAAATGAAGATCGACTTTTAATAAATGTGTCCCAATTAAAATATCCACTTCGAACCGAACGTTTTCTTGCTGCAATTTTTCTCTCCTAAGCAAGGGGGTTACATGTTGAAAGCGACTCACACCAGAGAACTGCTATGAAGTTTTATGTATGAAGACAGTAGTTTCCAAGTCGTCAAATATTGACGTACCGATGCCACTGGATCTTAATGAACTTTTAGGTGTTTTATGTGAAGTAAATATTATTGATACTGTATCCTGCCAATAGTCTGGCTAAATAGGTCGACCGAGGAGGTCAGTCGAAATCATTTTATGGGCGGACGATCTAGCGATGCACAGGTCGCATAGATTCCACGTGTAACAAGCTCGATGTCGGCTCCACGCGGTAATCACAGATTTGCGACGGCTCGTAAATCTGACCACGATCAAGGCGATAAAATTTCGAATTAAAGCAAAACAGCGGCCACTGATACGTTGCACGTTATTGAGTCGCGTCTTGTTTATATTAGCCGGCGTCCATACTTAGGGTCGCTCTGCAGGAGACCGGGTTTGCAGGAGCTTCACAATACACGTAGATGCTCCAGATACGGGGACAATTATGATAGATATCATGCCGCACGTTGCCCCTGATACCATCTTTCAAATATCCGGCAAATCTCCTGAATTATTTTTTATAAACTCAACAATCTATATGATGCAAGATCGTACTCGACTCTGCTACTGGAAGCATTTTCAGCAATGATAAACATAGGAAGTTTCGTTAATATTGTGCTGACTCGGTGCAAATATTATTTTCGTTGTTTGTTTGTCTTTGTTTAGCTTTAAGGATCTGAGGTAAATTATACTGATAAACAGGTAGTTGGGCGAACAGGGAATCATACAAGGTCCATGTACCAAACTATAGAATATATCTTGCCAGTTTCGGGATACTTCAGTGTAAGATAGAAACCCGTGCGTGTGCGTGTGTGCGTGTGCGTAACGTTTGTGCCAAAACAGAATAGCTCATAATTTGAAATAACTGAACCTGAACTAATGAAAAAATAAGCTGATATTCTCTTGCCCAAGAAAATTAGCTTCACTCCGTGTGTCGTTTTTCGGTTCAGTCTTGTCTGACATTCGGACGATTCAATTGGGAGATAAACACGCTTCATCGGATCTAAAACAATGGATTCTCTTGCGAAAAAAAAAAAAAGAAAGCTAAACCTTGATTCAATGATTTGGTACAAACCTGCTCAAGAGGTCTCGCTTCACGTACGCGCTCCTCAGCTATATTACACTGTTCACGTACTTCATCACTGAGTTGTACGTTATCGTTGATATCGACCGCTCGAGGTTTCACTACGTCTGTCTGAGACAAAATCACCTGCTCGTTAAAACGACCCAGAAGACGTACAGCAAACAAGGTAACAAAGCTCAAGTAAGAATAAACTCCAGTTACATGCGATCATTGCTTATAGATTACTAATATTTTAATAAAAATCAAGAACTAAATACATAGGTAAGAATATGTTCACTTGAGACCTTACCATTTGTTTCAACCACCCGCATATTTATATATCATATACATCGTGGTCAATACAAGTGCTAAGTCAGGTCTAACCCCTTCATTTTTTAACATCACAGAAATTACCCATTAAGATATTTTAGCCCGTAAGACTTTTTCAGTGTCCAATATTCTTTGTGATGGTTGGGTTACTTTATCTAGCCGCACGTGTTTCGGGATAATGGACGCAATCTTATGCTCTAATTCGGACTGCCAATTAAAGAATAGCTTTCAATCAATTCAAATACAAATACTTTTCGTTATTTTACAACTTGAAAGTATTATAAGTAAAAAAAAAAAAAAAAAAAACTAATGAATAATACTAAAATAGCGTTAGTGGAAAATGCTACACCTCCTTATACTAATCGGTATAAAGATGACGTATTCAGCAGTATAACAACGTATCTAGCAGAGAGACAATACGATATAGGGAATTAGAACGCCCGATAAATTCGCACAACGCGCCACTGCCAAGGATGTAAATAGGCCTCGAATCTTTTTCTTAGCCTTACCCCTCCTCCCTTCAGTCTGCGCTAACAATACCACATTCAAACTGTCTCTCTCTCTCTCTCTCTCTCTCTTTTCGCTATATATAGAGATATATATATATATGCTTCTCGGCTTTTTTTCACTGAAATGGCACTTGTGCTTTTTCTCACCAAAAGACTAACAACATTAGCGCGAATCATCAAAAGAATAATGGCAGGCTAGTGGAACGGATAGAAGTTAAGTAACTGAAGGAGCCATACCTGTCGCGGTAGACTGTCTACTGAAAGTGGCTAGAGCCGACTCAATGCACCATAGCGATCACAACGCGAATAAAATCAAAACGAAGAGGAAAAAGGAATAGGTAAAAAAGCACTTTGCCAAAGCAGTAATGATCCGGTCACCGTCATTGCTACGGCCGCCGCTGCTCTGAACAAAGTTTTATGAAGAGAATCGAAACGACCGCGTCCCCCCTCCCTCGCCCCACGACTATCCCGATAAAATGGCGCTATCAAGTTGACAAAGATGGCGGCAGACTCGTCCAGCCACTCTGACTTTGGCCCCGTCGAGTGGCAGAACACGGTGCACTGAGGAAACGCACATATCGCCATCATCGTTACACGCAACAATAGAGGACAGAAACGAACTGCGAAATGATCGCAATGGCCAATAGGTTGGCTCGCAACAAAGGAGGTCAAACTCAACCTAGAAATACAGTTTGCCCGGTAGGCGGCAATTGGCACTGGAGTTCTACATGTTCCGTAGAAAAGCTTTTTTACGTTACTTGTAGTCATATGCTACAAAGAAGATGATTTTAGAGTTACACTTGGCACTGGTACGCAGTTAGGAACGTGATAGTCGTTAAATTTCGACGTTCTTATATCAGCATGGACGGATAGCTTTTCCATTCCCCTAGGGACATTTTCTCTCGGTCATTGGTTGCGGTGTTTATGCGCAAGCTGCAGACGAAGCGCGAACGAAAACGTTTGGTAGCTGCTGTGACTTTTCTCTTGAAGTATTTGAAGACATATTGATTTTCCTTGAATAGTTTCATTACTTTGATGTGCATGATAAGGAAATGTTCATCCGCTAGCATGTATTAACAGTTTTCACGGAGTACATAATAGACCTGTTCGTCTCATTATACAGCTGTTTAACTGTGTGAATAAAACGTGCGACTCCTGCAACGTTACATAGAAATAAAAACGTTCTTTATTACCACGAATGTCGTCGTCGTCGTACAGTCCCTTTTACCCAAAGTCAATTTCCACTTTATTCATTGTTGACCAGCCTTCAGATCCCGTCTGTTTACGCCTTTTTTTGACGCACGACGTAACCTCATGCTTCGTGACATACCGCACTGCTAAGAGCCGAAATCCTCGCGTGTTTAGTTAGTCGGCCTTGCCAAGGCGCAGGGTACTACAATTAACCTGAGCCATCTACAGTAATAGTTTGCAAAATCCTTTGTTATACCATTTACATACTTGTTTCATAGGTAACATGCATAAATAGGTTATTACGCATACGTCGAGAGCGTAATGCGTGCATAAGTAACGAATATATTTTAAACAGGTTCAACGAATTCCCTAATACGTAAATGTACGTGCACATGTACGCGTACCTTCCTTTCTTACGTTCAGCATTACTAATTCACAGTGTGTAAACAATTCCTCGGAATCACCTTTCTTATACTATAGTATTAAGGACTTGCCTTTATCAGCAGTTAAACGGACCTATGTCGTAACGTACTGGCAGCTACACAAGCCGCTATTGACCTTAATAATGCCTGATCCTCTTCTACTGTTTATTTTTTGCTAGCTTATTTTTCCTAATTTTTGATATTTGGTTACAGTTTTTGCCAACGCTGACATATGAACCAGCGTGGCAATATGCCTTTCAGTTAGGCTTGTCATAACAATACAGTTAAAGAGAGGCACGTTAGTGACGCGGTCGCTACATTCGTATGATTGGTAAGTACATGTGACAAACAAGGCCTGTTCGCGTCATCCGTCATTGTTTCCTTTTGGCGTCCTTATCATCTAAATCCGTAGGCCAGGCGGAGAACAACGGCAGAACACTTTTGCTAGTTCATACAGACGCAGACGTAAAAATAGTAGAACGAGAAAAATATCAACAGCCTGTGGTTCATCCTCGTTTTGATCATCTGACGGCGTAGCATCGTGTCTGTCGTTGCTTACTGTTAGCTCAGCTACGATTTCACGTCTAAATCTCGGGATGGGAAGCTGAAGGTTTCCTTCAGCTTCCCATCCCGAGATAAATTGGCTTTTTTCTTTATAGCAAATGTGATACGGTCTCTAAACAGATCAGTGCCTTTTGCTACAGGTATATTGTAGTATTAAGAAGGGGACATTTGGCTAGCGAAGACGAAAACTAACAGCGAAAAGAATAGAACGATGCTTCAAGTTCTCAGAAAATAAATTCGTCAAGAAAGCAGAGTCTTGTAATTTTGAGTGTGTTTTTCTTATGTTTTAGGGCTATACACACCGTATTTATAAAAGGAGAGATTATCGAATCCTCTCGAACACCGTTCGAGCTCCATGTATGGTCAGTCATAACCGTGTTGGATGGACGGCGTTACCAATGAAGTATCATAAAAAAAATGGCGCTTCAATGTAAACTAATAACGAGTTTTATTAGCTCGATGTACCTTGGTAGCGAAGTCTATCGTTAGAAACGACGAAGCGCACCGTAGCTGTCATGTTGTAGAACTTCATTAAAGAGGTACTGTACGTCTGTGTTCGCATATTTGAAGCCGATATGTGTGGGCGACTAAAGTGAGTGATTTCGCCTTAACTACCAACAGAGGGAAGATTCTATATATCTAATAAGCCAAACTGCAAAACAATGTATGAGGATAAACATCATCGTGTCTTGAGCTGATAAAACAGATATGACCCGGGTAGGTCTACGGGGTCGATGGGTTTTCGTCATGCGGCGATCACGTTCTTAGCAATTATTGCCACAGAAGATACGATGTAAATAGGATGAGGCGTAACCAGTAAGAGACGCTATGATCAAAACAGGGCATCGAATGGTTCTACAACGATGGCTTATTCAACTTATGCGTATTATTGCTTACTTTTAGAATTGTTTAACAATGAACCCAGAAAACTTTTACGTATTTTCTTAACTTCTCCTATCAAGTTGGACACAGAGAATTGGTAGCATAGATTTCAACCGATCAGTAACAACAATTGTACGTTCGATTTGATCAACATCTAAAATCGGTTTACTGGGAATTGAGTGGCCTATTAACACGTAATTTTATACAATTTTCACACGATTAGTGAACTTCTAGTTTTTAAGGTACATTTCGCGGTACAGCATGAAGGTACAGAGCTAGAAAAAGTGGAATAAATTTAGTAAAAAGTGAATGTATTTATTGTTATTATTATTAGAAAAGTCCATCTATTAGTGAAGACGAGATGTTTTTTTGCTATTAATTTTCGCTGATAGGTGGTCTGGTGGCTGATAGGTCTAAAATGCGCGATTTGTAATAGCGTGCGTTTGTTCGACAAAATTACATATTTTGGTCCCCTTGTGTTAATTCAATACATGGATAGATTTTTGTTTATTAAAAAGCGAAATTCTCTATATGGCCTATTGGCTGAGGTCAGTGACGATTAGTTGGTGGTAGGAACGTATACCGGTAGACGGATTCGTTCCGACGTCGCCGATATTGAGAGATAACTTGAAAATGCCCGAAGAGGAAGGAATATGAATACTTCACTGACAGCAGCGACATGGATGAAATTTCAAACGGTTGTACAATCAGTTCCGCATAGCTAAAAATACGCTAACGGGTCGGCTAAATTCCGCCATCGTGCTAACTTGTATCACTATCATTCGCAGAAGAAACGAGAGTTCACGCCTGAACGAATATAGAGACAAAAACGAGAGAGAGAAAAAAAAAGGGAATGGATATTTTAATGATATTGATACGCGAAACTTTCAGGAAAAAATGCTCAGCGTATCTACCGCTACTACTCTATATTACTAAGACGTTTAGGTATACCAGAGGTGACTCACGTCTGCAGCGGATTTACGGCCGCATTACACAACTGTTATCAATCGTCGCTCGATGAAAAATCAATGGAGTGCACGCTTTTGATAGCAATAAACTGAAACTAGATTGGGAGAAAATCAAGTCACTTTTGGTAGCTAATCAAAATTTCGGTAAAAACTGGCCTCGAAATGACAAATGGGCGACTGTCAGGTAACAGCGGGTTTTAATAAAGAAATTCGGAACGAACTAGCTCAGTGGTACATAGACAGTAACAAAGAACAAACTGAACTTTACGGCACAGAACAAA